CCTAACAAACTGCCCTTGCAGCTTACTGGGAGAGGTAAGAAAATCCCAGCCACCGAAACGACGGCAGGCGAAGCGCCCCGGCAGAGCCCGGCAGCGTGCGGCCACCCGGCTCAACGCCGGTCCACGGCCACCAAACACCTCGTGCCCACAGGGCAAGGCGCCCAGCAACGCTGACAAAAACCCCAGACCAAACTGATTTTTCCTTGAAGCGGCCTGAAGGTGAACAGGCAGCTCCTCCCCTCTCCTTCCACCAGCCTCTGGGACCCAGCCAGTAATTACATCTGATTTTGACTCAAGCTGTGGTAAAAGGGGAGAAAAAAAGAGAAGAGACGGGGGAAAAAGAATGGCCCTCTTTCAGCTGAAGAAGGCTGTATTTCACGCTGGAGTAGCATGCTCTTTAGCTGCGTATCTCCTTCCGTGATTTACAATAATACCGAAGCTGCAATTTCATTCTCACCGCTGGGAATGAAAGGACCTTGCTCTGATTTAATTCCCTCCTGCCTCAGGTCCTAAGTGAAATGTAGATGTTACATTAATTTTTATGCCTTCTGCTTAAAACACTAAAAGAGGAGAAATAAGCTAGTGCTATGAAATAACTCAGAAATGCTTTGGAGAGCTGAAATTTGTCTTTTTCGATCTCTCCGGCACATCTACCTAACTCACGCCAGGATTGTGACTACACATATCAAGGGACCTCAGAAAGGAGCATGAGTAAAGTGCAAAGTCCGGTGTTCACGGGTTAGGAAGTCCGTGGGTCGGAGGCCAGGTAGGGGCCAGTGAGCGGCACGGTCGCCTCTGCAGCCAGCACAGCCAGAGCTGCCAGCCCTGCTGGCTCCCAGCGCTGTGATTCCTCAACTGGGAGCACTGGGGAAGGTTGTGCAAAGACCTGATGGGCCAAGGGCCCATCATGACACGGTAGCTATAGCTCAGTACGCGTCTCACCATGTTTAAACTGCCCCCCATGCCACTGCTCTGGTGTTAGCATGGTGCACAGGCCCACCGCGGGCACCTGGAGGAGGCTCAGACCAGAGCTGCGTCCCAGCTGACAAGCCCCCGGCCGCAGGAGCTGGGGCAATGCGGGAGCAGACCTCAGTGCGGGTCTCCAGGCAGCAGCCTGGCTCGGGCCGGGTCTCTTCCATCACCCGGCACTGTGCCACGTTCGCCCTGGTGTGGAGCCCAGAAGCCCCAGGTGCCTCCGCAGCCCATGCTCCAGACGTGCACGACCGGGGCATTGCCAGGGTGCGAGGCGCTGGGTGCTGTCGGCCTCGATGGACACCTGGCCGCGCACATGGCGCTAATGCAGCAAACGCCCAGCCTCCGAGTGCCTGATATCACAATGTTAACGACGTTCAGTGTGCTTTTCTGCCATGCCAGCGGCACTTAGCTTTTCCAAAAAGCCAGAAACCCCCACGCTCAGTGCTATGGATGTTTCAGCAAAGCAAGCAGACTTCGGCTACCTCTGTGCTCTCTGCAGCACGGATCGGACAGCTGAGGCAAGAGCAGAGCAGTCAGAGTCACTTCGGCAGTACAAATAGGGGGACAGCAGACCAGGCAGATGGTTTTCAGAATTGTTCCCACCTCCTGCTCTGAGCTCAACCAGCGCTGTACAGACTTGCTGACAAAAGCACTTTCTTTGCTAAGGCACTCAGCAGCAAGAAATGAGCTTATACAAGGATGTGTTCATCCGTTCTAGAAGTCAGCAAAACTGCATTTAACTCCGGATCCCTCTTTTATAACTGCAGACTGCTGGGGCTTGCCAGAATTACCGTAGGCCTTGTACAACCCCAGAAAAGAAAAATACTTTGTCATAGCGCTCTTTTTGTGTGCCTGTTTGGCCCTCGATGCAGTAGATCATCCAGCACAGGGTCAGAGCACGTACATGAGAAGTTACCCTGAAATAGGCCAAAGCACTATAAATCCACACTGCACCTGAGCTTGCAGCTGCAGTCGATGGCACGGGTCCTGGGAAGGCAGCTGGTTTTGACCAGCTGGGTTCAAGCGAGGGGACCGAGAGCGCCGTTCATCGCAGCTGCAGCTGCAGTCATGCAAGCGGGCAGGCTGGACAGTGGAAACTGGATTCCTGTGCTGTTTCTCAGGTTAGGAGAGGTTTTTCTCTGTGGCAAATAGTCTAGATCTAGGGAGGTTTCTCTGAATTGTACTGAGTTCCTTTGCAGTCTGTCCACTGGAAATGCTGCCTGTTTCAGGTTTCTGACTATACCAACATTATACAGCTGGTAAATGTGGGTGTTCACAGTTATAGCAAATGACCTGGAAATCCTGAGTCATCTTTCCCCCTGGTCATGAGGTGCCCCACAGAAGGCGCAGTACTTGCTTTAGTGAAGTGATGTGTTTTTGTGAAGTGCTCTGTGATCCTTGGATGCAAGCCACCGGACAAGCACAAAATTAGGAAACGCGCACTAGATTTGCCAAGAGGCCTTTTACTGAGATGCTGCTGACCTGAATCCAGGTGGAATAACTTCGAGAGAACAGATGGCAAAGTGGTTGCTGCTGGTGCAATTTAGATCACAATATCAATTCTAATTCTCTTTTAGACCAGCACAGTATGACACAAGTACAATCTTGAAGCATAAGCCCTGCATTGGCTAGATGACATTTGTATTCTAGGTGCAGTGATCTGTTGTAAGTGAAATAATGTAATCAGTACTTAGCATGAAAAGCAAATTTATCTTGTCAAAAAGCATTACCTTGAAGGATATAGGCAGCTAACAAAGCAGCATCTGAAGTCTTGCAGAGAAGACGGCCATGGTAGAGATCTCTCTTGATCTGCAGGAAGACTAAGTACCTGAGGATAAAAGGGATATTCCATTTATTAAGCAACGTTTAAATTACCTAAACAGGCAATTTAGATGAGGAATATCTGCACAAGACACTTGCCCTAACATTTCTCTCCAAGCAGTCCATTTACAAGATACTACATTTGCTAGGTCTTAACAAGTGCTAATTACTAGGCAGCTCCCCATTTAAGATCAGTTCTCGGGCTCAGATTTAGGTGTTTCACTCCCATTCAGGCCTACAGGAGCACAATCTGCGTTTGCGAGGCCCGCCCTTGACCCAAAGGCCTGATGCAGGTCTTGCCACCACTCCTCCGTCACCAGCCTGCTTTCACACTGGCATAGCCATTGAAAGCAGAGAAAAGCTGCAGAGAGACTACGAGCTCCCTTTTTCGCAGAAGTACTCTAGATGAGCGTTTAGACCAGGGGAAAAACAGAAAAGAGAAATCTCATCAACAAGGAGGCGCTGGTTGTCTCCTGCCCTGCCCAGGAGCACCCCGCAGCACCTTGCCCTGTTTGTGGCAGGATCGGGGCCGGGCCCCACGCGAGCGCTGCCAGCCGGGGCTCACGGCAGCCTGCAGCCGAGACAAGCAACGCCCCTCTTGCTTCTCGCCTTGCAGGTCAGGCTTTCATGCAACAACATATTCTTCTTCTCCAACTTTCTGCATGTTTCCAGGTCTCTGTGTAAGCATCCACTTATCTCCTCAGCGTTTGCCAACAATTAATAGTAAGTCAGCATCCTTTAGAAGTAAGTTGCCTCTTGTAGTTGTAGTAGTAGTATCTCTAGCTGCATGCACTAAAGCCAAGTAAAAAGATAAACAAAAAATGCTGGAGAAATTATATATTTGAATAAACTTAAAGCTAAGTAACAGTCTGGGCCGAGTCATGTGGCAAGGCATTTGGGAAAACCTGATAAAATGTAAGTCATACAGCTAAAGAGCAAAATGGAAAATTGGAGTGCTTAGAAATACGTTTAAATGCTCACTTGCACTCTGCGATATCTCAGTCATGCTTGATTTCTCAAGTCCATTCTTATGATGACAGAAACCACTAATTTTCACAGATAAAATATATTAAAGAGAAATCCAGCTATTAAAGACTACTCTCTCCATCTCCTGGCACAAGAGGAAAGTGAATGTTCAGCCCA